TCCCAGCTGTGGGCCATCTGGGACAAGGAAGCGAGCCGTGCCGAGGCCAGGCCCAGGCAGCCCCAGCCCCAGAGGACCCTCAAGGAGCGGGGCTCCCAGTGGCCCTGCTGCTCTCCGGCCACGCCTGCCTGAGGCCACGCTGCTATGGAGGCTGCATCCTAGTCTCCTACCAGGTCCCAGGCTGTTGAAGCCTCCAGCCGAGGGCTGGTCAAGAACTCAGGCAGATTCCATTGCTCCTCCTGCCAAACATGTCCAGAACCAGCCCCAGCCCTGGAAGTCAGCACCTTCTGGGGCCAGGGGCTTGCTCCCTCCCTCCCCAGGCCCTCGTCAGCCCGCAGCACCCAAGGTGCCCAGGCACCCCACCAGCAGAACTGAGCCTGCCTCATTCGCCCCTGCCTGCCCCACTGCCCAGAGGACCCCACACCTCTCACAGGCAGGAGGTCCCCACGCCAGCCCTTCCCAGCAGCAACAGGCAGACAGCCGCCTCCAGACCAGCACTTGGCACAGCCTACAGTGGCCCCACTCAGCCCTCCCGAGCACCCCCACCCCACTCCCAGGCTTTACTTGGAAACTTCTGTGCTGTGTTCAGAGAAGTGTGAGCCGCAAATGTATCTTGAAATATCTTGTGGTCCTCTCTCAACGTAATTCCGAATTGCTTCTCGTGGGACAGATGGAGGTGAGGAGGCCTCTCCGGAACAAGCGGTCTGAGGAGCAGAGCTGACTCTGCAGGCAGCCACTAGGGGGTAGCTTCTCTTCCCTCCTCTTCCCCTGGGCCTGGTTTTGGATTCTCCTCGCATTTCTGCCTCTGGACAGAACAGGCTGGATGAGCAGCGCAGGGAAGAGACACCGGGCCTTTTTCTCCTGGAGTCTTTCCCTCCCAGCCCTGGGAAGGGGGCAGCTGCCCTGTGTTCCCCCAGCTTGGCAGATGGGCCACATCTGCCTCTCCCTTCCATGCTCACGTGGCCTGAGCCAGCCCCCGGGCAGAGCTCATGTTGCATTGCTTTATCACCTGGGGCCTGGGTACATGTCTGTACTTTGGGATGTCACAGAAATACATTTTTGTGCAAAGTGGAGAAGAGCAGAGTGTCTTTTTTGCAAATGGAATGGGGTCAGGAGAGGGGCTTGGGCCGGCTCGGGCAGTCAGCCTTGAATGTGGGTATCTGTGGCGGGGAGGGTGCACTTGGTCGGTCTGTGTACCCAGCCTGGAGGACCAGTCGACTGCAGCCTGGGGACAGGTGGCAGACCGGGCTGGAGTACCTATTTCCTCTGTGCTCTTTCCACACCCCTGTGCCCAGACACTGAGGGTACAGCTGGCTACAGACCAACAGGGCCCTTGCCCAGGAGGGTTCAGTCTGATGGTAGAGACAAATGTGAAATAGGAGATTATGACCCCGTGTGCAACAAGTGGGGAGAAGGGAGCAGAGGCAGGGCGCCTCCTGTGGGCTGGTGGGAGGGGGTGAGTGGTCAGGGAAGACCGTGGGGACTCAGCTCAGGGGGAGGGCAGACCACGTGTGGGGAGAAGAGGTGGATGGTGCTCCCGACGCGGTCACCGAGGCCTCTCACCAGAGGAGACATGTGAGCTGAGTACAGAGAAAAGACAAGGCTGCCAGGCCTGGCCATGAGGGGCTCATGGAAAGAGATTCCTAGACAGAGGCCCCTCCTGGGAGAAGGGCCCTGCAGGGAGAAGCACAAAGCAACCCGGGTAGCAACAGCTGAGTGCAGGGGTGAGGACACAAGCAGGAGGGGACAGAGAAGTAGCTGGGACTGTGGCTTTGCCCAGGACGGGCCTGGTTTACACCTGTCGCCCCAGTGTAAGTATCAACAGTGCCCCCAGTGCCCCTGAGGGACTACTGAGGCTGCACCCAGTGGGGGAGGCTATCGCCCAAAGAACAGTCTGGGTGCTGGGACCAGATCAAGTGAGACCACTCCCACACGTGCCCTGTGCCCAGAGACAAGATTCTCTCCTTGACCAAACTCTAGCTTGGCTCCTCTGAGCCCCCTTCTGACTAGGTCCCAACCTTGACCTATAAAAACTAGTACAGGCTCTCAGCACAGGTGATTTCATCCACCCTGCTTCCCCCCCATTAAAAGACTTAAACAGGGTCGGCCCCGTGGCGTAGTGGTTAAAAGTTCCATGTGCTCTGCGTTGGTAGCCCCAGTTCAGATCCTGGGCGTGGACCTACACCCTTGTCAGCCATGCTGAGGCAGCAACCCACATACAAAGCAGAGGAAGATTGGCACAGATGCTAGCTCAGGGTGAATCTTCTTCAAACAAAAAAAGAGGCAGATTGACAACAGATGCTAGCTCAGGGTGAATCTTCTTCAAACAAAAAAAGAGGCAGATTGACAACAGATG